CCAGCTTGCCTCTGATGGGCTCTCGTAAGACAAGAGCAGCCAGCAAGATTTACCACGGAACACTCCACAGAGTCACCAATTCATAAAAGAAAACAAGCCTGGTCTCTCAAATATAATGCTTCAAAACACATCTGCTGCAGCTTTCATCTTCCTCACTTAAGAGTTAACCAAGAAATGAAGACTAGAAGAATTTGTTCCCAATGGTTACCTCAAGAGCAGGAGCCTCTTACCATGGTGCTGTGATTGCAGCCCCCTGCACACCATCGCTGTCGGTAACTAAAGGTCTTGGATAGTCACATCTCTAGGTTATGAAGGCAGCATTTCCTATAAAAGCAGTTAAGGTGTGGCAGCAGATGCAGTTTCCAATTTCCATTTCTCTTAACTGCTTCTCAGAAAGTCTGTTTTCCGAGTAGTTAATAACAACAGCCCATTTGCTCTATCAAAAAGATAAGCCGTCAGTTCTACCGCACTGCTTTAGTATCTGCGATATTCGGTTTGTCCTCTACGGCAGCTGGTTGTGCCGTGCCCCTGTTTCACCCCTTTCTGTTCTCGGCAGCCAGGGGAGCCTCTCTGCTCCTGCAGCACCAAGGCCCAAACCCGTGCAGCAGATCCAATGCATGAGCATCCCCAGGGGGGAACGGAGAGGGGAGTGAAGCAGTCAGAGGAGCAGTGGGACAGCACGGGCATGGAAGGGGTCACCCTTAGCAGAGGGAAAACGAGCAAACTGTGGATGCCAAAAGCTCTTGTGCTGCGCGTGAGATTCCTGTCACACGTGGCAGAATCAGGGACAGGCCCTACCGGTAAAATCAGATCAGACAACAAGCAGGGGAGGAGACAGACTCCTCCTATCATCCTGCTCACCATCTTCCAAAAACCCCAAGGTCTTTTATCCGAAACAGTCAGCAGAACTGTAATAATGGATGGCATGATGGTGTTTTGTTGGAATAGGTATCCTCAACAATTCACATTTACAATCACTGTAGCAAATGCGCCACACATCAGTCAAATGGATCGGCAGCTCCAATGTTTTTACAGTTGGCCTCGCATCCAGGTCTGCTCCTGGGTGTTTGACACTGAACCTCAGTGTGGATCCACTTCACAAATTCTACTTCCAGTAGATTCCCAATGCTACCTGGGAGCTCCTAATCTGGGAATTATTACAGCAGATACTAAAAGATGCTGAAAACAACTTTACAATATAAAATACATTTTTAAAACAGTTGTGGGGTTTTTAAAAAAAAAAAACCCATGCTTTTATTTAATAAGAACTTTTAATAAAAATACTCACTACATGGATCTAAGTGGCATTTAGAACAAGAGAGAGAAGCATTTTCATAACTGAAATCCTGGAACAGATCATTCCTACCAGAAAAAGTACTGACAAGCATCAGGAAAACGGATGTCAATGTAACCACAACAGGGATGTTAAATTTGGGAGTTTGACTCAATCACCAAATCATAAACAGAGAAGAGTTCAGCCCAGTCAGCCTGCACAGTTACACCACTGGCCCTGGTCCGGAGGAGGACAGGACTCGCTGCCCGGGGTCAGGCAGGAACAGCGATTTTCCACCTGCTGCGTGCATCACAGGGAGGGATAAGAACTCTGCAGGAGGCAGCTCATGGTAATCTTTCCTCCTCCACCCTCAAATACATCTCAGTTCAGGACTTCTGGCTAGCCAGGATTTAGGACCCTGCGTCAGGATTTCAAGTTTAACACGCAACTCATGACAGAACAGACTAACATTTTACAGGCTGGTGATGTTTAAAACAAGTAAGTACTGGCCATCCCAAGTACAATTCCACAGCTGAGATCATCTTACTCCATGTTAATGTGCCTCTGGAAAACTGTTGACATTTAGCATACATTTTACAGAGGACAGACAGGACTATCCGGGACTCTTTTTTTTGGCCTTGGTGACTTTCCAAACAGATTTCAGTGTCTCATTACCTCTTTTTGCCTAGAAGGAAACCCTCTTCCTAGCTATGCAAACGTCGCCTTTTCATTTAATTGAGCACCTCCTTTCTCTTGCATTTAAAATGGAAAAGGCAGGATCTTTGAATCCAAATTAATTCAGGGAAGCTTAAGCAACGTGAGTTAATACATTCAGAAGACTTGGCTCAGCAGGTCACTTCTCATCCAGTCATCTTCCGCCACTGCAGCCATCGCATCACATAATCCTTACTATAAAATAGGCCATGCTTTGTCTTAAATTTAGATTTATTCTCAAATACAATTTACGTCTTAAGGCCTAGATGGTGCCCTTGCTGATCCCATCAGGCTACAGGGAACACAACTGCTTTAATTTAACGGTGCTTGGAATACAGGGTTGGGCAGGATATCCAATGCACATTGGTAGCAGAAGCAGGACCGTGCACCAAGGACCCTCTTCCCCCCATTACCTGGCTGCTATTTTTCTGTGGATACCCACAGGCCTATTCCCATTCCAACTCAGAGCTGCTCCGGGGACAGGTGACACGCAAGTGAGCTACCAAGGCGCAGAAGGCAGTTTTCCCACCTCCCCTCTCGCAGCAAAACCACAAATAAACAAAGCTGGGACCAGCTGAGGAAGCCCCTAGAAGTGATAGCTCATTCTGTGCCCTGAAGCAAGGGTCTACATTTTAAATTTCGACGAGAGAAAGGGTGCCCACCACAAGTTACGATGGATGCGAAAAAAAAAAAAAAAAAAAATGTAAAAAGGTTTGCAATAAAAATATGTTTCTTATGACATAACAGGTAGTAGCAATATTTTTGAAAAAAATTGTCCAGGCCTGCTCTACTTAACCACTGCCCTGTACACAGACGTTGCACCAGCTAGAATCTATTCTAATAAAATTCCTCCGTGCAGGCCAGTCTTGCCATTCCGAGAGTGGCCCCTTCCTAAAAGCGGTACCAGAGAGTGACTACTGTGCAACAAAGTAGCCTTGTTTCGTAGCCAA